AGAGAGAGAGAGAGAGAGATGTGTGTGTTGGGGGGGAGTCGGGAGTGGGGGGGTGGTGTGGTGTGGTGTGGTGTGCATACGGGCATCATTTCGTGTAGCTGTTTCCTGGATATCTGTGGGGTGAGCACACTGAGGAGGTGGAAGGCGTCTCGCCGGTTGTTGCTGTGGGACGTCCGAATGTGAACGTGCAGACGGAGATGCTTCAGCAGATTCGGACTGACACACACCACACACCACACAGCCAGCCAGTCCAATCCCCCATGCCATGTGATCTCACCCACTGGAGTGCAGTTACTGACAGACTGACTGACCTGTGTTGGGCCATCCTGACCATGACGCTGATGTATGCCGGTGTGTAGGGATTGTACTCGTGGCTGGTGAGCTTCCGCAGCAGGCCCAGGGCGGCAGAGCATGACACGATCGAGTGCTCCATGGCGCCGCACTCTAACAGCAACCCTACGTGGCACACACACAGACAGACAGACAGACAGACCGACAGACAGAATGAATGCATGGCTACCTTTGTGTGCGTGTGGCTGGTGGGGGAGGGGGGAGGGGAGTGTGCCGACTGACCGTTGTTAGCATTTCCAATGAGGAGGAGCGCGATGGTGTCTTCTTTGTAGTTGGGTTTGGTCCGCACAAACCATGACTCGAACTCACGGATGGCCGTCACCTACACAGTCAACACACACACACGGTGACGCCTCTCGAGGCGCATCGCATCCACCGATTTACTCATTTCATTCGCCCACGTACCTTGTTGTTGGCGAGCTCCTCAAACTGGCTGAGCAGCAGCCTCACCCGGCCCGTCGCCGCATCCTCATCGCTGCGCACCTCTCCCAGCAACCCAGCCTGACGCACGCCAGCCAACATACACACATATCGGCCGAGGCTTGTGGCTTGTGTGTGTGGTGTGGATGATGTGGGACATACCAGTGGGTTTGTGGTGGTGCCATCTGTCGCCCCGCTGGCCTCGCTCTTCTGCTGCGCCGTCGCCAGCCCACTCGGTGACGCGTTCAGCAGCTCCCATAGGATCTGCACACACACACAAACACACACACGCACTCACACACACATCCCTCTCCCCAGGCAGACAGACACCCACACCTGTTGGAGCGGCTTTGGAATCTCCAGGAAAGCGCATAGGAATGGCGAGAAGGCCGCCAGCGGTGCCCTGGCGATCAGCTGCGTCAGGTAGGCCTCGAGATCGCCGCGCCTCTGCTCCACAAACTCCTTCTCCAGCACGCCCGTCAGACGCTTGGGCGGCAGCAGCGGAAGACGGCCTGACACACACACACACACACACACACGCCGATTGGGTGCGTGGGCGTGGGTGGCTATGTTGATTGGCATGCTGACGTACTACCTCCTGTGTTGGCGCCAGATCTGACGAGCTGGGCGTGAAGGTCGCTGAACTGCGAGTAGCGTCGGTAGCACACCCACTCAGGCCACGCGTCGTAGTAGGACGGCAACGTCACCTGCTTGTTTGTCAGCCAGATCACAGACAGACACACACACACACACACACACGCGCGCGCACACACAAAAACGCGGCGATGGGTTCCATGAACGCATCATCCAATCAATCGCCTTGATTGATTGACTGACTCATTCATTTCATTCATTCATTCGGTCACGGCAGGCACGGTCGCGCACCGTACCGTACCTGCATCTGTATGCAGTAGATGGTGAACTGCTTCAAGTTGCCGGTCTCCTCGCGCACCTCGCACCCGACGATGCTGGCAGACAGGAAGGCGCTCAGGTCAGGAAGATGCAGAAGACCGCTCGACATCACAGCTAGTGGTCAATCAACACAGGTCCATTTTCACCTTGTCCTGCTCCCAGATCTCTGACACCCGCCGCAGGTTTGAGCTCGCACCTGCGACCGACCCCCACCCATCCGCTGCGCCATTCGAAGGAGTGATCGGTCGCATCGCATCAGACTTGTGGTGGATGGCTGGATGGCTGGCTGGCTTTGGCGACGTGGATGATATGATTTTCAACACAGTGCTCTTATATCCGTTCTCTCGTGTGCTGATGTATCGGGCAATGGCTTGACGAGCGAACGATAAGGCGAGATGGAAAGTCAAAGATCGTGCGTGCATCATTGCACGCACGATGCATCAATCAATTGTCACCGCCACGCATTGAGCAGCTGTCTGTCTCGCTCTCTCATCATTGCGGGGCCTATGGCTGGCTGCACATTCTCGCCTTCCGCCCGCAGATTTGCCGGCCTTCTCACCATCTGGTTCCTCCTTGCAGCAGCAGAGATGTGGCCCACCCTCCCAGCCAACCGCCCTGCACCCGTGTTGCCATTGGCCGCATCCGCCGCTGCTGCTGCCGGGGGTGGCCCGCCATTCCTCTGCTGATGCTGGGGCGGTCTGCCGGGGTGGTTGCCGTTGGCAGCAGGCTGCGCTGCCACGCCGTTGCCATTGCCATTGCCACCTTCCATGCCTACGTGTCCCGCCCCGCCGCTTCTCGCAGCAACAGCAACAGCAGCAGCAGCAGGAGCAGGAGCCCGAACAGCTCCTCTCGCCCCGCCCGGCCCACTCATCTGTCGGCACACCTGTCGGCTTGGGGCATTGTTGTGAGAGTCATGGCTGGACGAGTAGGCGAGCGGATCTGACACTCGCATGGCGCCCGCTGCAGCGGCTGCTGGTGCTGCTGCTGGTGGGGCCGGTGGCCTCTGGTGGAACGCGAAGTTGGCGAACTGATTGTGTGCGGCAGCAGCAGCAGCTGCAGCAGCGGGCGGAGGGGGTTGGGCATTCTGGCGGGGGCCAGAGGGCGGTCGGCGGGGTGCGGCCGGGGCTGCCTTTGCACGGCGGTCACGGTCAGGCTGATTGGTAACGCGAGAGACATATGCAGTCAGTCGTGGTGTCGTTAGTTGTGTTTGTTTGTGGAGTGTGCGATGCTCACGTACGTCTGAGGGTCCGCTGGATGAGATGAGGATCATCTCATTGCCGCTCCAGTCATCCTCGTCATCTTCTCGCTGCACGGGAGCGTGAGCGGCCATTCCACCCTGCAGAGATGCGCACAGACAGAAAAAGCGCACCTCCTCATATGAGAAACAAGACTCAGGCAGCAAAGGTCCCCGACCGACTGACCGACTGACTGACCTGTGAGTTTCGTCTCTTCTTCTTTGCCGGTTGTTTCTCCTTGCCCCGATTGATGGCCATGTTGCTCTTGCGCCCCGCCTTGCCTTTCCTCTTCCCACCACCTCCACCACCACCACCAGCGTTCTTCTTCTTCTTTGCCGGGGGCGGCGGGACGTCATCCTCATCATCGTCGTCATCATCGTCCCAGTCGTTGTAGTCATCGTCCATCTGCCGCTGCTGCTGCTGCTGTTGCTGATGCGATTCGCCTCTCCCTCCCCCGACCCCATGCCCCCGCGGCCGCTTCTTCTTCTTGGGGGGACTGTCGTCGTCTCCCATGTTGTCATTGCCGTCGGCCTGGTGGTTGTCTGGGTTGCCAGAGGGGAGGGCGGGGGGGCCGTGTCTGCGTGGGGGTCTGTTGCGGGGCCTGGGCATGGTGATGGTCACATTGCCGCTGGTGAGCTTCTTGACCTGGGGCGCCTGGCCGATCCTGAGAACAGATGGACAGAAGGGCGGAGGGAATGGGCGTTGGGGGGTGGGGTGAGGGGTGGTGTTCACTTGATGACGGGGAAGTCTTGATAAGTGGACTTCTGCACGCCGTTGGTCAGGTACTTGCCGTTGAGCAACAGGCTGCATGCAAGAAGCACACAGACACACACACACACACAGGGAGAGAGGGGGAGAGAGGGGGAAGATAGAGGGGGTTAGAGGGGGTGTGGTGTTTGCTGGTCTGCGTGTGCCTCCCTCCTCGCTGCTGGCCTGCCGACCGAATGAGCTGGTCGATCGACTCCTTGGTGTCTTGTGTGCTCTTGCGCCACCGCCGCAGCTTGCCGTACGACCCAGCCGTGTTCATCCTGCACACGCACACACGCACACACACATACACACACAGAGGCGGGTGAATGCCTGCAGATTGCCCGCGCCCTTCGGCACCCACTAACTTGGTTTGGCCGATTCTCTTGTGGTTGAGCCCCCTGGCGGCGTCGTTGAGCAGCGATTGCGTGAGCCTGTACATGCCGCTGGCGGTCTTGAGCCTGACGTAGTCCTGCACCAACAACACGATCGTCATGGCCGCTTCCGTCACGTCCTCTTCCTCAGACTGATCAGAGAACGATACACACACCACACACACACACACAGATACGTGTGGTCGCCGTGTGTCGGTGTGTTTGTTCGTGAGTGGGTGGGTTACCTGTCCCTGCAGCAGGTTGTGTGCACAGTTGTCGCAGCCGGCGCCGCACAGGTCAGCACCAGGAGGAGCCTCCCCAAAGTGCCGCAACAACAAAATGCGCCTGACAGAGACATCCATGCCATGAAAGGATGGATGGATGGATGGATGTGTCCCTCCCCTGCCCACCGCCCACCCACCGGCAGTCTGTAGCATCGCAGAACTCAGTCATCCTCTTCAGCTCGTCCAGTCGTCTACCGCCACCCCCGCCCCGGCCCCGGCCCCCCCTCTCCCCCGCGGCCATCTTCTCCTGCCGGCCCTGGTCGTGCTGGCTGTACCACAACACCACTCGCGAAAAACGCCCGTCGCGGCCGGCACGACCGATTTCCTGGTAGTAGCTGACATGACAGCAGAGGGAGGGACACATAGAGAGGGAGGGAGGGATGTGCTGTGTGGCGGCTGGGCTGCGTCTGCACCGGTCTAGTGTGGGTGGAATGCTGTAGTGGAAGACGAAGCGGACGTCGGCCTTGTCGATGCCCAAACCAAAAGCTGACACACATAGCGAGGTAGACACAGGCACATATACCCGAAAACATCTTTGCTTGGCCGGCTCGGCTCACATACCTACAGTGGCCACCACGACCTGCGTGTCGCCACTCATCCATCGCCGCTGAATCTGAATACATATACACACACACACATATATACTGGGGGCTGTGTGGTGTGTGTGTTTCTGCTGCCGACACCGACATCCTTTCTGTTGCGATCGGTCATGCCGGCGTGGTAGGCCTCGGCGGTGATGTGGAAGGCGTCGCGCAGACGGGTGGCCACCTCCTCACAGTCCTTCTGGCTCAGACAATACACCACTCTGAAAAAAAGGAACACACACAGAAATAATCAATCCATTTGCACACGCGGACGGTTTGTGTGGGTGTGGGTGTGGACGGGGCGCACCCAACCTACCCTGATCCGCCCTGCAGTTCAGGCGACGACTGGATGAGCTGCGCCATCTGGTGCAGACAGGTGGGCGTCTTGGGACGCACCTGACGGACACCCCACACATCGCGTGTCGTGTGGTATTTGTGTCGGACCTCTATGAACAGGTTGGGCCGATCGATGCTCTGCTTGAAGACCACCGTGCTGGCGGCCATCTGCAGAGTGCTCCGGACGTCACGAATCACCTGCACCCATCCACCCCCTCATCCATCCATCCATCCATCCCATGGATGGCTGCATGACATTGTACCGAGTCCGTGGCCGATGCGGTGAGTGCGAGTATCGGCGTCTTGGGGGCCATCTTCTTGATGAGCCCCAACTTGCGATAGTCGTCCCTGAACTCCCTCCCCCACTGACATACACAGTGGGCCTGCACACATACACAGCAACAACACACACACACGCAAGACAATGCACCCCACGCACACACAGACAGAGGCAAGACAGAAAGGCGTACCTCGTCGACACACACCAGTTTGAGGCTGCCGGCGTCGTAGAGCTCCTTCAGCACGCGCTGCACGGCCGTCGACTTGACCAGCTTCTCGGGCGTCACGTACAGCAGACAGATGTGCTCCTTGTCGGGGTTGGCGGGGTCCTCCTCGTCTATCAGGCTCTGCAACGCCCCCAATATCTCACTATGCTGACCACACACAACACACCACACACACCACACCAGGGAATGGGCATCTTTTCTCCCATCGAGTGCGAACGTGGCGCACCAACCTTGCTCTTGGTAGTGTTTTGGTCGATGCTCTCTGCGTAGACGTTCTTCTCCTTGACTGCCTTGACCTGGTCCTCCATGAGGGCCCGCAGCGGCGAGATGACGACCACCAGGCCGGCCCGACCCACCACGGCCGGCAGCTGGAAGCACAGAGACTTCCCGCCCCCTGTCGGCATCACCACGAAGGCATCCCGATTGGACAGCACCGCACTGACACATTCCACCCCACCCCACCACGCCATAGCACAAACACACACACACACACACACATATGGCACGAGCCCTCACGCCCTTAGAGGCCCTTCCCGTCTCATCCCTTGTCTCACTTGATGACGCCCATCTGCGGCCCCCTGAAGCTGTCGTGCCCAAAGATCTCCCTGTTGCGATTCCTCAGCTCGCGAGACCACGCATGCGTCTCGCGGAACCACTGCTGCTGCGACGGGTCAGGTCGATACAGACGCGCCGCACCACTGCTGTTGACACGGGCCGCGAAATCCTCCACGGCAAGGGCCACGGGGTCGTCGGCAGCTGCCGGCTCGGGGAGGGGGGGAGGGGGAGGGGGAGGCGCTACCGCCGCTGCAGCAGCTGCTGCAGCGGCGGGGGCCTGAGAGATCTCTATGTCGTCGAAGCTCTCCGACTCCTGCTGTGGCTGCTGCTGGTGGGGGGCTGGGAATGGGAACGGAAAGGGGAATGGGTCAAAAGGTTGGGAGAGACATGGGTCGATCTCGTCATCCTCGAACGCAGGGTCGTCGTCACCAAACAGCTCCGCTCCCCCAGCCCCACCCACACCAACAGGAGCAGCGGCTGCTGCTGCTGCTGCAGATGAGGATGCGGGCTTCGCGTCGTCCTCTTCCATTGGGTCATCCTCATACTCATCAAGATCCACCACAATCGGCTCCTGCCGTAGTGGGGGAACAGCTGCAGCAGCAGCAGCGGCCGCAGCTGGCACATCTTCGTGGTCTTCATCTATCACGACGTCGGCCCAGTCATTCTCCCACGGCTGATGAGCTGGCCGCACCTTCATGCCATCGTCCTCCACTGCCGGCGCGAGAAAAGGCGCTGCGGGACACGCAGCAGCAGCAGCTGCTGCTGCTGCTGCGGGTGGTGAGCCGATGGCGCGTGTGTCTTTGGGTGGCGGGTTCTTGTGCCGGAGGGGTGTCTTGATGAGCCGCTGGGCACGCTCAAACAAACGAGAAGGGGAGGGGTCGTCCGGCCGACCAAGCTCGCCGAACGCGGCACTAGGTGGATACATCAACAAACAGAGCCACAGATGGCCATCCATATGTCTGTGTGATGGAGAGTGTGTTGTGTGTGCTGCGCCCTGCTCACATGGCCTGTCTGGCGGCTTGTGCTACCGCATGTGGGTCAGAGATGGGCCCGGCCTCATCGCTGTTGATGAGCGGCAGCAGCGCTCGCAGCATCGTCTTGCCCTGACACCTCACCGCCCGAACCATGTCTACAATCTGCATCATGCAGGCCACAACGCACCCACCCCAGTGACCCCACCCACACAAAGGCATTCAGTACTACGAAAATGTGCCTTCATATCTCTCTCTCTCTCTCTCTCTCTCTCTTCGTTCTCCCCATCCAGGCAGGCCGACCTCATGTTTGCCTTTGTCAGGATCGGCAGCGGCTGCGATAGCCAGCAGCTCATCCCCCTCCCCCTCCCCCTCCCTCTCCCCCTCCTCTGGCTGCTGCTGGTGCTCGTGGTGGTGGGGGTGCTGGAAGTATTCCCCGCCGACCTGCGTGTCGTGCCGCCACATAAAAGTCGCCGGAATCGGCTGGGCGGGATCGCTCTGCATCCGTAGCATAGCCGCCGGTAGTGGTTGATCGGCCTCGTCGGGCTGTGGCGGTAAGTGCGGTCGGTCCTCTGCTTCGACGGGCGATACGTCATTCAGTTTGCGGGGCGGGTTGCGGCCGGGCGATTGGGCGCAGAAGGGGCAGACGAGGGAGGGGCCTTTGGGGAAGCAGGAACGGTGCAGATAGTTCCCGCAGCCACCTGACAAAGAGCACACAGAAGGGCAGAGAGAGCCATCCATCCCGACGAACGTATTCATCTCATCTCAATGGCGGATTCATCTCATCTCATTGGCGGCAGATCAAATCAATTACCAGCACATGGGAAGGTCGGTTCGGCCTTCTTCTGTCCACACGCGCCGCAGTCGTTCCCGCTATTGGAGGGCGGCGGGTCGCTCTTGGGCTGCGGCCGCCTCACTGCAGCGGCAGCAGCACCAGCAGCTGCCGCTGCAGCGGGCGGTGGCCTCGCCGGGGCCTGGCCAGGCAGGGCGAAGTAGCTCTCAATCTTCTTCTGGCCTGGCTTCTGGCGATGATGGGCCATCATGCATCAATGAATGATGCACCGCAGAAAGAGCGGGTCGAAACGATTCCTTCCCCTCTTCCTCGGCCTGCGAGCTTAGCTTGCGGTAGGCAGATCTCGGTGCTTTCTCGCGTGAGCGGATGGGGAAGAACAAGGGCAAGGTGAGCCTCCCATCAATCCATTTATTTCATCACGATCTCCATCGTATCTATCGCCCTGTGTGATGGCATGTGGTGCATGGCTTTCAGAAGCGCCGCGAGGCCTCGTCGGCCGCCGAAACTAAAGCGGACCCTTCGCAGATGGAGGAGGGCGATGAGGAAGAGACCGTCAAGCAGCCGGCCAAACTCTCAAGCACACAGAAGGCCGACAAGACGGAGAAACACACCAAACCATCAGTACTTAACGGGCAATGGGAGGGAGGGAGCGATGGATGCATCAAAGCGATACGAGAGAGAGAGAGATGGGCATCCATGTGTGTGTGTGTGTGTGTGTGTGTGTGTCAGGGTGGCTTGCAGTTTGAGGATGACCATGAGGACGAGTTCGAGGAGGAAGAGATCATCAACAACCCCAAACAAGACGAAGACGATGACGATGACGATGACGAGGAAAACGAAGTGACTGGACGCACCAACACCGCTCCCCCTCGTCGTGCATGGTATGCCTGTGTGTTTGTGTGGCCATCGTCAGCGGATGGGTGCCGCGGACACCAACGAGGAGGAGGAAGTTGCCGAGGATGAAGAGGCCGAGGAGAAGAAGCGTCGTCAGCAGCTGGTCAAGGTGTGGCGGCCGGGGGTGGACGCCATCGATGAAGGTACACAGGCGTGGCGTAGATCCGCACACACACACACACACACACGGGCTGCATATGCTGTCGTACCATGGCATGCATTGCAGGTGAGGCGTTGGATTACGACAGCACTGCGTACGCCATGCTGCACCGCAACCGACTCGACTGGCCCTGCCTCTCGTTCGACATTCTTGCCGACACCCTCGGCATGGTGGGGGGGTTGGGCACATGCCCATGCAGGCAGCGCGCAACACCCACCCACCCACGCACACACGACAAACCTCAAAGGATCTCTCTTTCACCCTTCTTCATCTTCTTCTGTGTGTGGTGTCAGCATCGGTCTAAGTTCCCCCACACGGCGTATGTGGTCGCCGGCACGCAGGCCGACAGAGCCGACAAGTATTCAGTTCACGTCACATCACAGACAGACAGACACAAGCATCCGTCGGACTCGTGGTGTGTAGATGCCCTTCTGTCTGTCTGTCTGTTTGTCTGTCTGATTGTCTGCCCATGTGGGTGGGGCAGGAACCGCATCTTTGTGATGAAGTGGCACCGCCTCCACCGCACAAACAAAGACGACGACGAAGAGGACGAAGAAGACGACGTCGACGTGAGCACAGACTAGCTAGCCCAAGCCATCAACACACACATGCATCTGCCCTATGTGTGTGTGTGTGTGGTGTGCGCATCTACATGCAGGATGACGACGAGGCGACCGACGAGGAGGCGGCCCTCGACTTCCGTGTGGTGTCCCACCAGGGAGGCGTCAACCGCATCCGCAGCATGAAACAAGTCCCCGCACTCGTCGCCACCTGGGCTGATACCAAGAAGGTCCGTCAGTGGGCAAATGACACACAACACAGAGGGAGACCGGATGCCCACCTGCCTGGCCTGCTCTGCTCTGTCCGCTTAGGTGCACATGTGGAATCTGAAGGACTTCATCGACCGCCTCGACACACCGGGTGAGCACAGCACAAGACAGCCAGCAAATCGCCAACGTGACGTGGCCGGCCGGTCTTTGGAATATATGCCCTTGCGGTCAATTGGTGTGGTCAGGGGCACCTCTGAATGCGAAGACGGCGCCGATCTTCACCTTCTCTGGCCACACGGACGAGGGCTACGCCATGGACTTCAACCCACACAAAACCGGACGGTCGGGACGCACACACACCCAACCGCTCACCATGGCATCAGGAAGCATCGTGTGTGTGTGTGTGTGTGTGTGCGTGCCCATAGGTTTCTGTCGGGCGACAACAAGCGCATGATATACCTGTGGGAGCCGGTGGAGGGCGGATGGGACGTGCAGAAGGTCGGCAGACATACACAGACAGACAGACAGACAGACAGACAGAGAGGCAGGCAGGGAGGGAGGGAGGCAGGGAGGGAGGAGACCTACTGCACACGTCTCTCTGTTCATGAGTGCAGACACCCTACAAGGAACACAAGTCGTCTGTCGAGGACGTCATGGTGACCGCACGCACATACACACACAGGGGGGCTCCATGGAATGCATGGACGACATCCTTTTGTGTGCGTGCCTGCTATATATATCAGTGGAAGCGCTGCGGTGACGGCGCCGGCGACGTCTTTGCCAGCGCATCGGCCGACTGCTCTGTCAGGTGCACACACACACACAAACCCACACACGCGCACACACGAGGGAGCAGCAATGCGTCGGCTGCAGAGTGTGGGACACCCGGGCGGAGGAGAGGAAGTCGGCCGTGCAGATTCCCCACGCCCACCCTCGCGACGTCAACGTGCTGTCGTGGAACCCCTCTGTGGGTGAGCTGCTGCTGACCGGTGCCGACGATGGCTGCTTCAAGGTCTGGGACATTCGCAACACTAGGTGGGCCCTCGGTGTGTGGATGGATGGATGGATGGATGGCCGGATGACGCAGGGACGGATGTGTGTGCGTGTGTGTGTCGATTAGCGTTGGTCCGATGGCCAACTTCCACTGGCACAAGGAGCCCATCACGGTAAGAGCGCACACACACTCACACCCACCAGGGAGGGGGACACTGGTTGATTGGTTGCGTGTGTGTGTGCAGTCGGTGGATTGGCACCCGACCGACCAGGCCTGCCTCGTCGTGTCGGCCGCTGACAACACCGTAAGCAACAAAGAGGGAAAGGCCACTCATCCATCAGACGCGTGTCATGTCATGTGTCATGTGTCTTGTGTGGTGTGGGAGTAGGTGTCGATATGGGACATGTCGGTAGAGGACGACACAGAGCCCGGCCAGAAGCTGCCCGACGGCGCCGAATACTACCCGCCACAGCTGCTCTTCCTCCACCAGGTCACACATACATGCATGCAGACATACACAAGACAGGGTTGCCGTACTGTGTGCGTGTGCGCAGGGCCAGAAGGACATCAAAGAAGTCAAGTTCCACCCACAAATCACAAGTAGGGCCACTTACAGGCAGGCCGGCAGGCATGGCTTCTGTCGTATTGTATCTATCTGTGTGCGTGTGTGTGTGTGTGTGGTTGACCAGGTGTCATCATCTCGACGGCGAGTGACGGGTTCAACATCTTCAAGACCAGCAACATCTGACCGACCTTCGGACCCTCACTAAGTGTTCCGTTCTGCTGTTTTGTATGTGTGACTGACTGGTTGTGGTGCTCTGTGGAGCCGGCAAAGGCTCGTGCCTCTCTCCCCGTCACTGCCAGTTTTCGCTTTGTGGTCTTGCCGTCGCTGTGAGTGGGGGACACAGACACATGCAGATGCCATCGATGGAAACAATAACTAACGGACACGAGCAAACAATGAACTGGGTCATTTGATTTACAATGTGGGAGCCACTTGAGTCACAGTCACCCACACAGAGGGAGGGAGCACGGCCAGAGAGAGAGAGAGAGTGGGGCCCCTCCTGGTCCCCTGTCCGCCCGTCCATCCATCCATCCATCCATCAAAACTGATTGATATCATTTTTTCATATCATAACCCACACAACACAACACAACACAACACACATCACCACCACCACCACCACGGTCACGCGCAATAACACTAAGGGGCACACCAGACGCACAGGCGGCGGTTAATTAGCACCCATCCATCCACCAGACCCACAGCTGAGGCAGCGAAAGGCAAGGCAATCGATGTCTGTCTGTCTTTCTGTGGCTCTCGCCAGAGAGTGTGTTGTGCCTAGCATGCAATCAAAGAGTTGCAGAAAGGTCAGCTCGGTGTGTGCCCGATTCGACCCTACTGCAACTCCCGCCGTGCACGGCAGAGACAACACACAAGACAGCATTGAGAAAGAAAAACAGGGCAGCTAGCTAGCTGTACACGTGTGTATCGTGTGGAGGGGGGCCGTGTTCGATGCCATGCCGTCTCTTGACTGCGGGCGACAGGGAGCAGCACCTCTGTCGTACGAGTGTACTCAACGGAGATCGATGCCATTCTCATGACACAAGAGAGTTGCAACAACAGACCATTGGACATCCCCCCGTGTGTATGCGTGTGTGTAGGCGATAAAACGCGACTTCATGGCAGTGTGTGTGTGTGTCTGTGTGTCCCTCCTCAGACAGACGTGTGTGCATGTGACTACAGGCATTGAGCATGACAACACGACCATACAGACAGACACACAGACAGACAGACGGCCACAGGACAGCTGTACACCACCACCCCGAGCCAGCCCACCCACCGATGGATTGACAAAGGTCGAGAGAGAGAGAGAGGGAGAGAGGAAAGGAAACGAAGGCGAAACCAAGGAAAAGGGAGTCGGAAAAAACAGCACATCGCGGTCGACCAACCCCCGACATTGGCCAGACAGTCAGTTAGACAGACAGACAGACAGTCAGACAGACACAAAAACGCATCTTACTAGCAGCGATGCGTGGAGAATGAATCATGAATGTGTGTGTATGTGTGTATGTGTGCGGGCCCTCTCTGCTCTCTTCTCCGCTTCACTACGCCGTACAGCCACACCCTCCCCGTCCCCCGTCCCCCGCCACACACATACACACACACACACAGCCATGGTATGGTGTGCATGTACGTGTGTATGGTATCTTAAACCAAGCCCGTCTAAATCCGCCAGCCAGCCAGCCAAAGGGGTCGTCCACCCACCACGTACCCATCCATCCATCACAATAACCCGGATACATACAACGCAACGCAACGCAACGCAACACAACACAGCTGCAGCCGACCGATCGATCGATCGGTCACTTCATGTTCTTGATGTGGTCGCTCAGGTCTCTGCGTCGCACACACAACACACCACCACACACGGCGCGACACACACAGCACACGCATGATCTCTGTGTGTCTGAATGTGTGTGTGTGTGTGTGTGTGCATACCTGAAGTACTCGTGTTCCATGGCTTGTCTTGCCGCGATGCGTGCGTTCGGGTCGTAGCGCAACATCCGCTGCAAAGACAGACAGGCACACACGACGACACGACAGACACATCCAGCAGGCCGACCGCATCTTTGCCCTCTCCCAGCCTCCCGTGTGTGCCGCCTCGTTCACCGAGAGCAGGTCCATGCCGGCTGGCTCGAGGTTCTGCACGATCTGACTCCACTGCAACGGGTCGTAGCGCGGGAAATCAGGCTGACCACACACACACGGCCGGCGACAATACAACGACCCTTTTCGCGCGTGTGTGCGCACTCTGTTCGCCCACACACGTACCTTCCACTCGGGCAGGTCGTTGATGCCCGGCCACACCGACTCGTTTGGCGTGCCCAGCACCTTGAAGATCTTCATCAACTGGTCCTGGTCGCTCGTGCCGGGAAACAGCGGCCGCCCGTTGACCATCTCTGCAGCACAACACACAAGACGACACACAAAACGACACACAAGACACATGCCGCACCCGCACAGACACACACATGTCTACCGACCTGCGAAGATGCATCCGATGGACCAGATGTCGACTGGCGTGGAGTACTTGCGCGAGCCCATCAGGACGTCGGGCGCTCGGTACCAGAGCGTCACCACCTCGTGGGTGTAGCTCCGCACCGGAATGCCAAACGCGCGGGCCAGGCCGAAATCTGCCAACTTCAACGCACCCTCCTGAATTTCACAACACCCACACACACACACACAGAGACAGAGATGACACCCATGCCTTCCACCTGTCATGGCAACCCACGAGTGTGTGTGTTGACCGACTGACTCTGTTGATGAGCAGGTTTTGTGGCTTGAGGTCTCTGTGCAGGACGCGGTGCTGATGGCAGTAGGCCACCCCCCGCAGCAGCTGGTACAGGAACGACTGACACACACACACACACACACACACCGCACACACACGTGTCGGGTGGTTGTGATGTGTCGACGTGAAGTACCTTGGTGGTAGCGGGGTCCAGCCCGCCGTCGCACATGTCGAGCAGCTTCTTGAGGTCCTGGTCCAAGTACTCAAACACCAGCGTCAGCTTGCGCTCCGTGTGAATCACATCACACAAACTGAATGAACACAGACAGACGCGACACGTCATCCCATCCCATCCCACAACCACGACACACACAAACCACCTCACCTTCTCCTTCCCGTGGCCATGTGTCCATTTATGTGTGTGTGCTGTGTGTCCATCCCATCACTCACCGAACGATGTTTGGGTGCTGCAGCTCCTTGAGTAGGGAAATCTCCCGTATGGCCGTCGACGGGATGCCCTCGTCCTCGGCCTCGAGGCGAATCTTCTTCAACGCAAATATCTCGCCCGACGAGTCCTGCGCCTTGTACACCACGCCATACGTCCCCTCGCCTATTTTCTCCAGCTTCTGGTACTTCTCCATCCTCAACAACCGACCGTCTTGAACGACGACTGACCGGAAAGTCGCTGTCGCTGGCACTCACTGATTGACTACACTCCTGTCATGCTCTCCCTTCTAGCGCGAAAAGAGGCCTGCACGCTCAGCTTTTTTTGTTTGGCGATCCACTGACGAGAGAGAGTACAGAAGCAAGAAGCGGAAGGGCTTCGAGCGGGCGGCGTGTGTTGGTCCGCTGAGGTGCATGAGATGGTTGATTGACGGCAATGAGGCGAAGTCTTGGTCGAAGTTGCTGACGCGATGCATCCTGCCTATGGCGAGCCGCTTGTATCTCCCCTCGAGACGCCCCTGTCTGCCTCATCAAGACTCGAAGAATACATCAGGGACTTCGAGAGGTCAGAAATACATCAGAATGCACCAGAAGCAGGGACTCTGCATGCCGTGGATTGCGTGTGGATGGATGCTGTGGTGCACTGCAGGACGGCTCCTGACCTGTCATCGTGCTCGGCAGCATGGCCGCCGTCACGCCCCTCTGGCCCTTATCCGGTGGCCACACCATCACACAGGTGAGAAAGACCAATTGACTGCAGATGACGAACGACGCTGCTCGTGACTAAAATTCTGTGTCGGTTGCCGTGTGTGTTGCCTTTTCTTAGGCGGCCCGTCAGCCGTGCTCGCAGCAGCAGTAGCGGCATGTCACCAGTGCACCTGCGTGACGTGATTGAGACCTACCGCACCGGCCTCACCCTGGTGCTGGACGGCCTCGACAGATGCCCCCTGGCGCGCCACGCTCACTCAGCGGTGAGGATGCAGCTGCCGTGTGTGCAGACCAAGGAGAAGGCCGAGCGGCTGCAGGCGGCCTTTATGTGTGAGGGCGTTAGGGATGAGCAGGGGCGTGGCGTCAAGGGCGTGATGAGGCAGCTGCGGCAGCAGCTCCTGGACTCTGACATGGATGTGGACGGCGAGGGCGAGGGCGAGGTCAAGGAATGCGATTCGTGCAGCGACCCCGTGTGTGAGGGGGGAGGAGACGGGGACAGCGAGGGCGACTTGCCGTCCTTGCCACCCTCGCCACAGCCACAACCGCCCCCTCCTCCCCTCCCCGCCCCATCCACCAGCCGCCGCATGACGCCATCGATGGCCGGCGTTCGCACCAACACCGACATACTCACCGACCTGCTGGCCAGACCACCCTCCCCACTGCCACCCCCAATACTGCCCACCCATCCAGCTTTGCAGCCACCGCTCCCTCCCCTCTCGAGCCAATCTGACGGCAGGAGCAGCGTCGTGGTGCACATCCATCAGCCGACGGGGCACGTGTCGGTCGGGAGAGATGATGGAGGGCAGCAGATGGACCAGGCTGTTGAGAAGGACGGGAGGAAGGATGGTTCTCGGCTTGTCGACCTGCCGAACAAGGGGGTGAGCGGCTGCACTGGTGGTGATGACAGCACGGAGGGGGCCAAAGGGCAGTCGGCGAAGAAGAAGGAGACGGGGCGGACTGATGGAGCGCCGGAAGGGCCACGTTCACCACCCCCTGCGATCACACGGCAGCCGGGCAACAGGGGCGACACGATGACAGCAGCTGGCAGGGCTCTGGAGCCGCCACCGCCGTACGAAAGCCCTCGCGTCCATGAGGCCCCCACCGTGCCCGCCCCTGCCACCGAGATGCAACTGTCACGTGTCGCCGATTCCCCTCCCCCCTTCTCACCGCCACCCGAAGGCCCCCCAGTGAAGCAGACTGAGGCCGGGGAGCCACACCGGGCACCTGACGGCGCAGAGGATCGGCCTGCCGGCTTGTCCCAGCTGCCGAGTCCTTCATTGCCGCCAGCTGATGGGCCTCCCGCTGACAGTGGGGCTGTGGAGGGCCGAGAGGACACGCAGCGCAGAGATGGGGACAATCACGAGACGCCGATGGAGGGGGCGCGGCTGGTCAATCGTGACACCGTGGCTGAGGTGCCAGCTGCGGAGCGGACGTCGTCTAAGGATGCGGCAGTGGTGACGCCAGCAGAGTGGGTGTACAGCCCCACCAGCCCCTCTGTTGCCGGCCTTACCTCTCATGCGTCCCCAATCCCCACCAAGCCAGCATGCGTTGCGACCAGCGGCGAGAATGCGCGACTCCAGCCGTCCCCCCGACCACCTGGCCTGGACGCATTGATGGAGGCGATGGACTCCCCATCTCTTGCCGCATCGCCGGGCAAGGACCTCAGCCCACCTGATGCAGTCGGGGCCATGACCATCAATGCGCCTCCTCGACAGACCGTCACGAGAGCACCGGTCGCACACCCGGCGGTGGTTCGGGATGTGAACGCGGCGTCTCAGCGGCGGGCCATATCGACACCCATCGATGACGGCAGGGGCGTCCGCAGCCCCCCCTCTCTGTGGAACCACTCCCGCCGCCGGACGTCGCCTTCGATGGAGCCAGTCACTCTGCTGCTGCCCACAGAGGCCAATGACCACACCCTCAGTGACGCCAAGGCGCCCCTCCCGCCCCTGCCAAAGCCCCGGCAGCCCCGCATCCATCCTGACATCACGCAGCAGGAGAGAAAGACCGATCGCGAGACCATCATGACGCGGGGGGCACTGGACAGAGATGGACATGGCGGAAGAACGGCCTCTGCGCGAGAGACTAAGATGCCAGACAGTGAGATGAGGAGCGGCGGTGGTGGTGGTGGGGCCGGGGAGTTGAAGCACTTGTTGACGCATCTGTGTGAGGCGACGAGGGCGATACAGGGGCGGACAGGAGACGAGCTGTCCGACCGGACACTCAGGCGCATCGTCAGGGAGGCACGCGAAGGCGACGGCAGGGGGGAAGGCCGGGCGCTGCGGGGGGCGGTGGAGGGGGGCAGGGACGACTCGTCCAAAGCCATCTTGTCAGCTCTCTCGCGATCGCTCGGTGGGTGGACAGATAGATGAATGGATAAGGCAGAACTCATGATGCACACACGTGTGTTCCTTGCTGTGTCTTTCGGCTCATCAGATTGTTTACGGCGTCTGCATGACCTCTCCCTCCCGTCATCCAGCCCTTCATCTGCCCGGGAGGCCCCCATGCGCCCTGTCTTCACCAACCAACCTTGCCCTTCTGCCGCACCAGCTGCCCGCACCCCCATCCCCCTCCCTCATCGGATTGACAAGATGTCTGACGCTCATCGCAGCAGACAGGGCGATGCCGCATGGGCAGCCACGCGTAGCGACCAGGCCGTCCGCGACCCCCTCTCACAGACGGCATACTCAGTGGCCAGCAGTGTGTCGGGCAGGGAGGCCTCACCGCCTTCCCGTGGTCATGGAAGCGGCATGAACAACTTCGTCCCCGATTCCTCTCCTTCTTATCGCCACAGAGCAGCTGCCGACAGCCCGCTCTCTCGCGCGTCGTCCCGTCGGCTGCTGATCCGGTCGAGCCGCAGCTGCGTGGAGGCATCTGACGACGGCCATGACGCCACATGCGAGCCGCCCAAGACACGTGCGAGTGCCAGAGTCAGCCCGTCAGCAGTCAGCATGAGAGCCGGTGAAGCAGACGGCCGCCGACCAGCAGTGCGGCAGACAGACGAGGTGGCGTCTGCAAGGCCTGTGTCGCCTGCCCTGGCTGAGATGGCCCATCCCCGGCCATTCGACGACGAGATATACGTCCATCGGGAGCCGACACAGGCCACGTTTGGTCGGCGCCCGACCCACTGGGTGTACCTGCGGCCGTGCCCCTCGCTGCCCATGCCGGCGCCATGCGACCCGCAGTGCTCCTCATCCAACTACCCCCCACCTAGCGGACGGTCTCTGGAGCAAGATGGTGCTGATGCGTCCACCACACAGGCGGCCTGGTCGACGCTCGGCACTCAGCAGAGATGAGCGAGACGACGGCGTAGCAGCACTCCGGACGGATGAGTCCTTCTCGGAGTGTGTGTGAGAGCGTTGTTGCTTTGTGGTGGGTGTGTTGATGTGGGCGACGCGTATGGCGGTCCGTGCAGTTGGAGACGGCTGCAGCTGACCGACATGCGCGCAGTACACCTGAGCACGGCCACCCAGAGCTGAGTGACCGGATGACTGATTCGATTCCATGACACAGTGCTTGTTGCTCTTCATGATAAGGGAAAGGGGAGGTGGGAAGAAGCGGACACTGCCTGGCTATGTGTTTGTCATGAAGAATGAAATGACGCGGTTTGCTCATGCTTCAACAACTTCACTGCCAATCAACAAGTCTCATCACATCACACACACAGCGGGTACACAGGCCATTACCCACCGCCCGCACACACAAACGCATCAGTCCTGAGTCTCTGCCGTGGTCAGCTCCAAGTATCACCAGCAGCGTCACCATACCAGCCTAAACACACAAGCAAAGCGCAACGTGCTATGGCTCAAAAGTCGCACCACACGCACCTGGGGCCTTTGAGTGCTACTCTTCGCATCGGCTCAGCTCGTCATCACCAGCGTGCCAAATCAGCCTACGCCCACAGTGTCACACATGCATCGGGTGTGTGCTCCCTCGAAGGATATCGAGGTTTCTTCGTCAGATCTATCCGGCACCGGAAGCCGAGAGTTGGTTGGCTGCGTCGCTGAGCTGGGACGAACCCTCCTGGTCGCCATCCCATGCTTTCACATGGAACAGCGCCAGGGCAGCCACAGAGGGCTGCTGGCTCAGCTTACAGGCTCCTTTTTGGTTCCCTGCACCCCGAACAGTGCAGGACGAGGAACATCCTGGCGGAACAAACCTCGAGAGTGATGGGCGGAGGGTTTAGGGGTACGGCAAAGCCGTGACGACGAACGCACGAAAGGGGCGCGAGCTTCGGATCGCAAAAAAGGGCAGAAGGAAAGAGGCGATTGTTTCAATTGCTCAGACAGATCCGACATACATTCACGACGTGTACTTCTCCGACGCCACAATCCGAAAAGTACGGCCTCAAAATCCATGATTGCACTGGCAGCACTGACGCAAAGAGAAACTCCTATGGTCAACAGAGTGTCAATAGGCAAACAGCCTTACTGTTCATTGTCGGCGCCACTCGGCGGCACCAGTAACTCGTGACATGATACCTCTGAAATGCACCGTCGCCTCCTCTCCATCACATCAAAACGCCGAGGGATGAGCCATCGTCTCTGCTGAGCACCGAGCGTCGACCAGGCCACCTGTGTGGTGGACGCATCAGCACCATCTTGCTCCAGAGACCGTCCGCTGGGCGGGGGGTAGTTGGATGTCATTGAGGTGCACGGCGGGTCGCATGGTGCCGGCATGGGCAGCGAGGGACACGGCCGCAGGTACACCCAGTGGGTCGGCCGCCGACCAAACGTGGCCTGTGTCGGCTCCCGATGGACGTATATCTCGTCGTCGAACGGCCGAGGATGGGCCATCTCAGCAAGGGCAGGCGACACAGGCCTTGCAGACGCCACCTCGTCTGTCTGCCGCACTGCTGGTCGGCGGCCGTCTGCTTCACCGGCTCTCATGCTGGCTGCTGACGGGCTGATTCTGGCACTCGTGCGTGTCTTGGACGGCTCGCATGTGGCGTCATGGCCGTCGTCAGATGCCTCCACGCAGCTGCGGCTCGACCGGATCAGCAGCCGACGGGGCGACGCGCGAGAGAGCGGGCTGTCGGCAGCTGCTCTGTGGCGATAAGGAGAGGAATCGGGGACGAAGTTGTTCATGCCGCTTCCATGACCATGGGATGGCGGTGAGGCCTCCCTGCCCGACACGCTGCTGGCCACTGAGTATGCCGTCTGTGAGAGGGGGTCGCGGACGGCCTGGTCGCTACGCGTGGCTGCCCATGCGGCATCGCCCTGTCTGCTGCGATGAGCGTCAGACATCTTGTCAATCCGATGAGGGATGGGGACGGGGATGAGGGCAGGTGCAGCGGCTGCTGCCGGGGGCGAGGGGCGGCTGGTGACGACAGGGCGCATGGGGGCCTCCCGGGCACTTGAAGGGCTGGATGACGGGAGGGAGAGTCATGCACACACCGCAAACGATCTGAACAACGCACAATACAATATTGTCTGCCTGTTTATCTGCCTTATCCATTTATCGATCCAGCCACCTACCAAATTCCTGTCACACGCCATACACTGCCTCAGTTGATGCTGCTGCTGCTGCTTCGCTCTTCGTCCCCCTCGATGATTGAAGGCACCCATTCGTCGGGGTCGCTTTGGGAACCAGATATACTCCGGGAGCCTACATTTAGCCCAACACCCGCCCCATAGAATCCTCTCCTCAACTCCATCTGGACGGCGACGGGGAATACTCGGGTACGTCTTGGTTCACCACTCGCGGCTTCTTCGTCGTTGTCGGGTAGTGAGCTGAAGAGGGACACGTTGTCGGGCATGGTCTCATCAAGTGGTTTGTTGGCGGGGGGCGTGCGGCGGTGGGGGAAGATATCACGCGGCGTCACGCCTGGCCAAGGAAAGCCTCTCTCATCAAAGTTGGATCGGTCGGCATCCACATAACTGAAAAAACAGAAGAACGAACGAAAAGTACATCCTCTTTTCGCTTCCACAGTTTTACGCTGTCATTTACATACTGTCGGCTTCTTCGTGGGGAAGGCTGGCGAACATCTCTTCTCCTTGTCCCACGCCCATCCCCCGCTGCCAACACACCGCTGAATCCTTGGAAGGTCGAGAAGGGGGAAATCATGGAGCTGAAGAAGAGACTCGCCGTCTCCAGCCAGGAAGGAAATGATTCGGCAGGCATGCTTGATACCTCCCGAGGCCCCGTCTTGTTCTCCTTCTGAGACTTTGCTGCCGCCGCTTCCTGCTGCTTGACGGCAGCCACATAATGATCCATATCCATGCCCCTCCTCGCCGCTTCCTCCTCAATAAACGGGAGCATTTCTTCCGCTTCTTCACATGACATTTCTGCCGAGAGCTGCAATAGCGTCCTCTGCCTGCTAAGGCGCTGCTTCTCCTCTTGCCCCTGAAGTGCATCAGTTGGTGGCAATGAGGGGCCCGGCAGCTGAGACACATCAGCAGGACGGCTGTCACATGGCTCGAGCGGCTGGAATGGCACCTCAGCGACAGTCTCCTTGACTGGCGGGCTAGTGGCTGGGGCTGGTGGTGGGGGAGTGGAAAAAGCCGATGACGGCTGTATCATTGTCGCAGCAAGGGGCTCCGGAAGCTGCTCCTCGTGGCCACGAGGGATGTTGCTGTAATCCTGTGCGGCGGGTGTGAGAGCTCGGGCGATTGCAGGGGGACTCTCATATGGCGGTGATGGCATGGCGTAGTCTTCCTTGTTGCCCGCTTGGCGCACGATGACAGGCGATAAAGAGCTCTGGTCTTCTGAGGCCGTAGCGAGCTCAAAAGATCCCTTCTCCTTCTCCTTCTCCTTGCCGGTTCTCCCTGGCACAAAACGCCCATGAGAGTCAATATAGTTATGTTCGCTTCCCTTTCTCATCTGCACGTAAGGACCACGTCAGGACTTACTCTGCTTTCTTGTGAAGGGAACAGCTGGTAGCTTCAGATAACGTCTCGCAGGCTTGTTGGGCAGCGGTGGCAGTCGGGAGGACGACTGGCGCGCGTTGTTATCGTCGATCGAAGCACATGCTGAGTTGGATGGCAGTGGGGATCCATGAGAGGTAAGGCAGCCAACAGAGGGGCTGCCGGGGCTGTACACCCAATCTGCTGGCGTCACCACTACCGCGTCCTTCGATGGCGTCCGCTCCGCAGGTGGCACATTAGCCACGGTGTGCCGATCGACCACTCGCGCCCTCTCAGCCCCCTGCCCCCCTTCGTGCTGATTGTCGTCTTGACCCTCCACATTCCCACTGACCACAGGAGGCTCGTCAGCTGGCGGGAATGAGGGGCTCGGCAGCTGAGCCGCATCAGCAGGACGGCTGTCACATGGCTCGGGCGGCTGGAATGGCACCTCAGCGACAGTCTCCTTGACTGGCGGGCTAGTGGCTGGTGCTGGTGGTGGGGGTGACGGGGGGAGAGAAGCCGATGACGGCTGTATCATGGTGGCAGTGAGGGGCTCGGGACGCCGCTCCTCGTGGTCACGGGGGATGCCCTTGTGGCCCTGTGCGGCGGATGTGAGAGAGCAGACGATGGCAGGGGGGCTCTCATACGCCGGTGGCGGCACTGCGTCGCCTTCTTTGTCGCCCGCCTGGCGCACGATGACAGGCATTGACGAGCTCTGGTCTGCTGAGGCCGTGGCGAGCTTATGAGATTCCTTCTTCTTGTCAATTTTTTCTGACACAAAACGCACATGAGAGCCAATATCGTCACGTATTATCGTGTGCAGTAGCTTCCGTTTTGTATCTGCACGTAAGGATCACGTCAGGACTTACCCTGCTTTCTTGTGAAGCGGACCATTGGCAGCTTCAGATAACGTCTCGCAGACTTGGTGGGCAGCGGTGGTGGTCGAGAGGATGGCTGCCGAGTGTCCTCAACGCTATTCGTAACACATGATGAGTTGGTTGGAAGCGGGGATGCATGAGAGGTAAGGCAGCCAACAGAGGGGCTGCCGGGGCTGTACACCCAATTTGCTGGCGTCACCACTGCCGCATCCTCAGACGACATCCGCTCCACAGCTGGCACCTCAGCCACGGTGTGCCGATCGACCAGTCGCGCCCCCTCCATTGGCCACTCGTGCTCCTCCCCGTCTCTGCGCTGATTGTCGTCTTGGCCCTCCACATTCCCACTGTCAGCGGGAGGCCCATCCACTGGCGGCAGTGAAGGACTCGGCAGGTGAGACATATCATCAGGACGGCTGTCAGATGGCTCGGGCGGCTGGAATGGCACCTCAGCGACAGTCTCCTTCACTGGCGGTCCAGTGACTGGTGCTGAGGGTGGGGAATGGGGAGGGAGGGAAGCCGATGACGGCTGCACCATTGTCGCAGTGAGGGGGTCGGAATGCCGCTCCTCGTGGCGACGGGGGATGATCTTGTCGCCCTGTGCGGCGGTTGGCATGCGTGAGTGAGCGGCTGACCTGGGTTGGGAGATCATCTGCTTCAGGCGTTTGAATGGCCGAAAACCCGACGACGGCTTCAGAGGGTGAGGAGACGGCTGGACCGCGTTGTCCACAACACATGCTGGCTTGGTCTGGGGGCTGGTGGGGCTGCACACCCACTCTGTTCGCGTCACAACTGCCGCGTCCTTCGATGACGTCCGCTCCGCAGCCCGCACCTGAGCCACGGTATCCCGATTGACCACCGGCCGCGTCGCCCAACTCCGAGCCCCTGATTTCATGGCAGCGGCCATCAGTGCATCGACAGGGGGGGCGAAGACCGTTAGGGGGTCGACAGGTGGACGGATGTTGCGTTTCATCGTCATCATTTTCTCTTGACTTCCCTAAACCAAGGGCACAGCGCTGTCTCTCACGTAAGAGTGGGGGTGGGGGCAAGTCTTTGCGCGCTCAAGTTCCGACCGGCCCCCATGGAGAAGACCGAAGATCTGGCAAGGGCGGCTTTCTGTGATGTAGGTGTGCGGTTGTGATGCAGATCTGGGCTCTTTTGCTTAGTTTCGTCGCCTTTGCGCAGCCTCAGCATGGAGAAGCGATATTTGAGTTCGTCCCAAAGCATTCATACTACCAAGGTGAGACCACAGATCCATGCAACACAGAAAGCACCTTCACATGCAGCACCTGTGTGTGTGTGTGTGTGGCCCAGTATGCCACGACATCATGGACCGCGCCGCGGCCAAGACGAACCCAGGAGAGCGGATTGGAGAGGGCACCCTCAAGGTGATCTGCGCACACACGCGAGATGCAGATATCACCCATTGCAATGCGCCTCTTTCCTTACACTCACATGATTTCTCAGCCGATTTGTTTGAATGAGCTCAAGGCAGCGGCCGAGCGGCTGCAATTATCGACGGCGGGCATGGCCAGTGAGCTTTTGGACACATGTGAGGAGCTGGATGGCCGGGTCATGGAAGCCCTCCAGCTGGGGCTGATGGGCAACAACAACGGGACGAAATTCTGCGGCCTGCTGGTCAGGAGTAGATTTGGTCATGTGCGGCTCCGCCATCTGTGTGTCTACACGTACGCAGGTGGAAGAGGAGTCGCAAAAGAGCGGGACGCCTCTGTTGGAATACCTCTCTGACCGAGACGTCCATGCAGCGTGCCAGCAGAGTCTGTTCGACGCCAGCTATCCGAGGGAGGAGGGCAAGACGCAGGCTGAGCAGCTGAGGGACGGGTTGAGGTACAGCTGCAGACCTGTGATGCAGGACGTCCTCAAAACATATGGCATTGTAAGCGGCGAGGAACGATGAGTGAGAGGAGGTGCGATAGATGTCGGACGCCTTCAGGGAGAGCTGTCAGCAGAGCCCATCTGGTAAGAAAAACGAGAGCCGTCCATCCGTTCGTCGGGTCGTTGCCAAATATACGTTGCCTGTGTCTCGCAGCGCCGAGTTTTCGTACAATGTGGATGTGGCACTGACGGGCAACGAAGAAATAAAGGACTTCAAGCTCTTCTGCGAAGAGGGAGCCCTGACCAACAGTAACGAGGTACTTTGGCTTGAGTTACAGAGACATGAGTCGAATACGTGTGCACCTTTCAGACAAGCAAGCGCCGCCTGCCTGGGGTATTGTCGATGACACCCCCTCCTCCGCCAACACAAGCGCCCTCAGCTGAGAGGCAGCCGTCTCCCGAAAACAATGTAGGTCATTCGCCTGAAGGAGACACACTACCCGGTATCTGTGTCTGTCTGCAGGCAACGAATGCTGCTGACAGTGGGGGTCACACTACGGCCGTCCCCCCTAGGGTCTCTGAAGGCCACCGGCCTCTCGACCAGTAAGGGAAAGGATGGATGGCTGGCTACTCATTCGTTTGCGGTTGGGCGCGACGCAGATGGGGCACCCATCGGCCCACAACTGCTCCTCCAGTGCCTGCTCCAGCCGCAAGCATGAAGCCTCCACCAGAGTAACGAATCCCCCCGAAGAGAAGACACTTGAAACGGGCCTACGTTTCCCTTTTGTAGGTGGCTAACGAATCAGGAGGCGGACTTTGGCAACCTTCACCGATGGGGCAAGGAGGTCAGGCGAAGTAAGTACAGCGGCGCATGAGACACAGATGCATTCATTGCTGTCCTCTTTCGTCAGTGCACTACATGTGGTGGAACGCAGACAAGCTACAAACGCGAGATTTCCTCCTCCCCCCGTTCTTCGGCTTCCGGACCAATTTCTTCTCCTATCTTCAACCGTGAGCCGAGCCCCACTTCTGCAGCTGCATATGGGCAGCAAAAGCGCTACTTGCTCAACGTATTCCGGCGGCCAGTGCCCCTGCCCATCACCGAGGAGCAGCAGCAGCACGTGTGGGCCGCGAATGGAGCGACAGCTGGGTGATGATGGACCCATTGCCCTCTGTATACCGGTCCATCGCATGCGATTTTCGCCCAGGAACGTGTGTATTTGTACATGCCGTGTCGTGTGTACAGATGTATGGATGGGCTCTTGAGGCTGGTGAATGGATGGATGGATGGATGGATGGACACGTGACGCATTCCATCCATCAGAATCATCAACGTGTACCGTACGTGCAGACAGCCAGTCAGTCAACACAGCAAGTGTCAGTCAACACGCGCACTCACAGACAGACAGACATGATAAAGGAATGAAGGGTCCACGTACGTATGATACGCACACACACACAGCTCTCGGGCAGGCAGGCAGGCATAATCTGTACACACCTCCACCTCACCTCACAGACACTAGCCACTGGTCGGTCGGTTTCACACACAGCCAGCAACCTTACGAAGATGGAGTCGAAATAAAAGCTGCTGGCTGTACAGAAACGAAGGCAGGCATGTAGGTCGGTTGGCTCCTGCAGCCAGCACACCGACATCGATTGATCTAAGTCAGCCCATCTATGTGTGCAGTGCCCATCTGTGTCAGCTGCACTGCCCCTCTCCGTCCCTCCCTCCCTCCCCTAGTCCTCATCGCTATCGAAGTCGTCCAGCGGGTCATCGCCGCGGCGCCGCATCACCCTGACCGAACAAATACACACAGCAGAAGGATGTGTGGTGACCTGACCTTATTTATGTCCATGCCCGTGTGTGTGATGGTTGCATGTAGGTACCTACCGGTAGAATTCGTCTGGGTTGATGAGTCCATCTCCGTCCCTGTCGGCCTCGTCGATCATCTCCTGCAACTCCTCGTCCGTCAACGTCTCGCCCAACTCAGCAGCAACGCGCTTCAAGTTGCGGAAACTTATCTTGCCTGCATGGATGGGATGAGCCACGTACATACAGCCTGCGTGTGTACTGTATGTACCCGTGTCGTCGTCATCGAATAGTTTGAACACCTTCATGATCTCCTCCCGGCTGTCCTTCTCACCCTACACACACCACCACGCCATGCGACACACACACACTGTGCCATGACACCCACCCCACCCACCCTTCTGCTGTGTTAGGTCGCGCACTCACGTACCATGCGTCCGCTCATGATTTCCTGGAACTCCTCGTAGTTGATGGCGGCCGTGGGGTCCTTGCCTATCTCCGCCAGGATCTTGCGCACCTGCTCCTTCTTGACATCGAAACCCAACGCACGCATCGCCGCCTTCAGCTCACGAGCATCTATCGCACCTGTGGGTGGCGGGTGGGCGGGACAATGAGTGAAGCCGACACACATTCACGCGGATGAGCTTTGTCGTGCTGACTGACCGGTATGGTCCGTATCGAACAGGTTGAAGGCCTCGCGGACCTCCTCCAACTGCTCCTGCGACCACCAAAGAGAGCCAGAAAGCCACAACGATGGACTCGGACGGCCAGATGCATCCGTCGCATCTCGTGTGAGTGAGCTCGTACCTCCGATAGGCCTGGCTTCTTCCTACTGGGCCGGGAACGAGGCGGAGATCCCGTGATACGACGCAACGACTGAAAAAACGCAGGAAGGATGCGTGGGTGTCATAGGCCGTGGATGGTATGGATGCACGAGGGACCTTCCTTTGTGTGCTTCCAGCCTACCGTCATCGCCATTAAGAACGCTACACCAAAAACTGAATCAGCGGCCACGGACGATCGCGAAAGAGCACGCTTGGTTGGTTGGTTGGTTAAGGGTTTGACGAGACACCTGTCCCTAAGCCCGGCGCTACCTTCCGGCGCAACCAGGCATCTTCTCTGTCCACAGCACACACCAAACAGGCAACAGGGACATGCAGAATGCATGC